ATATATATATTTATATACATACTCTCTCACACTTTTTTTTATGTCTTACAGAAATACTCCTGCACAAAAGGTAGGGTCGACATTAAATTCTAAAAATATAAAATGTTAAACAATTGCTTTTATCATTAGTATCTTTTATGTTTGTTTTCAACGGTATATTCACATCTTATTATTATGATAGTATATTAAAAATTGATTGAAGTCATTTTATTTTCAAATATATTTATTAAGAAAAAAATATTTGTTGGAAGAAAGAGGAGAAAAGTGTTTAGAAGTTGATTTTAAAATTGTGTTTCGTTGTGTGGAAGTGAATGGAAGTGTCGCATGTCATTATCTTTTTGACACAAGTGAGATGATTTGTGCAAACTTTACTACATGCAAGCTGCACTCAAATTGTGATGTTTCGTGTATATGTATTCAAAGATAATTGATCATGTTTGATTATATTTATATTTATATATATAATATTTATTTATTCTTAAAATCAATTTAAAATATAAAAATTACCATTAACAACAATTATTTATATATATAATAATCAAAATTTTATAGTAATTATAAAGACTGTTATAGAATACAAGAAATCGATTTGATATTTGATCGTGAATTTTAAAATATTATGTGAACTATATTTATGAGTAAATTTTTTTTAAATATATTATTTATTTATTTATTTATAAATGAGGGGTTACAAATTTTTGAAAAATTGTTATGTCATGTGCAACAATAAATCTAACAAATTTTTTATTTATAAAAAAAGTATAATTTTAACACATTGATGAGTACTTACATGGTAAAATAATGTTTTTCATCACTTCATATTTAAGTAAAAGATTAAATTTTTATTATTAGTTTTTAGTTAAAGAATATAAATGTTGAATAACTTGTATTAACTAGTATTTTAGCATATGTAATACATGTGTTAAATAGTTTAAAAAAACTTATTCTTAACATTCAGTCTCCTTAAATAAAATTTTAGAATCGAGTCTTGTGTATAAAAAAAAATAGTTAGAAGAAAAGAATAAATTAAAAGTAATCAGTCAAATTTTCTAACAAAAATTAGTTATTGACAAAATGAATAGATACTTTGTCCTAATAATATGATTAAAAAAATAAATTTTAATTTGATTTTCTAAATCACTTATATTTTTATTTTTTAAATTAAACTTCATTAAAATAAATTATAATATAGTTTTTTACACCAAAAATTATAATGCAGTTAAAATAATTTTTATTATAATATTAATTAATATCATAAATTTAAAATAATTTACATTTAATTTTATTACAAAATTTAATTATAACTAATTTATATATTCAAAATATTTATCTATTATAAATTTTAGATATACACAAATAAATATTTATTTAATATTTAAAATTTCTTAACCATTCCTAGTTAAGTAATATGATATAATTGTTTTAAAAAAGTAAAGCGGCGCGAATTCCGAAGGATCCTAAGTTTCGCGCCTAAAGGAACCCCTTGTTCCCGCCATCAAATACCTCTCACATATCAAACCTTGCCGCCAAATTTCCCAGATCTATCACGCAGAAGCCATGGACACCATCTCAAGCTCCCGGAAGCGGAACCACTCTTACGGTACATTCACCCGCAGCAGATCACAGCTCTTCCTTCACCGCAACCGTTCCGGTCAACTCCGCTTCGATCCCGTTCCGACACACGACGATACCTGCGCCGAACTCGTTGGCCTTCGCCGGGCCGCCACGAGTTGCAAGAAACTGAAACGTGACGACGGCGACATTCCTCGCCCTCTCACCAAGGACCTCCGCGCCAGACGAGTTTACTCTCCCCCGCAATCCCGCCACCACGATGATTCCGATTGTACGGATCGGAAG